CCTGCGGGGACCCGCGCCCCGCCGCGCCCTGCGCGCCTACTGTGCGCCGCCGGCCCTCTGGAGGCAGTTCCCTGTCTGGGCCGCCGGCAAGGCGGCGAACAGACCGGCCGGAGGGATGGGTCCTGGTCCCGCCGGCGGGAGAGACAGCCTCCCGGCGGAGGGGTGCAAGCACGACCTGAGAATCCTCTCGTCCGTCACCCCTCCATCCCTTCCCGACTCCGCCATTTTACAGGTGGAGAAACTGAGGCCCTGAGCCGCAGGGACCGAAGCAGGTGGCTTCAGAGGCAGGGCTGGAAGCCCCTCGTCCTAGCCTCAGCCCTGCAGGCCTGGGCGGGCGTGTCTGCGGCTGCTGGTGGCCCTGTTTATTGTAGGTCTGTGGGCAGGCTGTGTCCCTGGGTGTTTGTTTATGGAGGTGAGGGGTGCGGCGCATCGAGCCTGCTGGGGGTGGGGGTGGGGTGGGCAGGCCTCTGTTTTAGGACTCTAGCGGCCCTGCGGTGGCTCCTGATGGGCCCCCTAAGTGATGGCAACCCTGAATGACATTCTGTCCCTGCCATCTGATTCTCAGTACTGAGGCCTTTCCCCTTTCCAGCAATCGGAGGGCCAAGCGCTTTTATGGTCCCAGCTTTCAGGATTAGGAGACTGAGCACAGGAGACTAAGTCACCATCCACAGGAATGAGTGGCAGAGACTGGAGCTGGAGTCAGCTCTGGACTCCACCGCTGACCACTCTTCCTAGCATCCGTGCCGCCACAAGAGTCATCAGAAAGCAGTCCCCTTCCCCCATAAGCCATTGGGAAGAGCTTATGAAACCCCCACATCCTACCCTCAGGCAGCACCAGGAGCTGAAGTCTGCCCCCAGCCTGGGTCCCAGTGCTGGTTCCAGGGCTTGGAGGTCTGCCTGCGGGGCCTTCCTGAGCTTCCCACTTCCTCCGGTCAATGGGACTGCAGCTCAGGCTGTCCTCAATGGGATGGTGGCCAGTGTCTGAGAAGACAGATCCGGGTGAGCAAGACCCCCTGCCAGGCCCCCCGGGGCCCAGCCTGGGCCTCCAGGGGTCTGTGTCAGCTGCCCTCTGGAAGTGGGTGCGAGAGTGAGGCCTGATGAGCTTTCCCTTGTGTGGCCCTGGCTCTGCCCTCTGGCCCCACCTAGGACCCCTGGAGGGGGAAACCCCTCTCTCTGGGGTGCCCCCGTAAAACACACACTCCTCTGATTCCTGGGTTTCCAAAACGTGGTCTCGGAACACCCTGTGGAATGACAATCAGGAAAGCCAGAGATCCACCCTGGGGTCGGCTAAGGGAAAGAGAGGGAGGGAGGAGGGGCCAGCCGTCACTCTCAGACGCTCAGCTCCCGTTGTCCGCCAGTACTGAAGAGAAGGGCTCTGCTTTCCTTGCAAGCATCTTGGCTGCACAAGGTGGGGAGGAGAGGGAAGCTGGACCCAGATGCGTCCCAAGGGAACCCCAGTACATTGAGGTGGCTTGGGGGTCTGGGATCAACGGGCTGTCTGGGCAGTCCTCCTAGCATGTGGCCTTGGGTGAGCTCTTTAACCTCTCAGCCTCCCTTCCCTCATTCCCAAAAATGGTAGCACCTGCCTCACTGCATGCTGGGAATGTTAGACCTGGGGGTCTTTACCCTGGGGGTGATGGGATGGCCCAGTGAACACCTGTGGGCACCAGGAAAGCCTTTCTTATTGTTACCGACTCTGATATCACTGAGGCCAGCACCCTGGGGACGTCTCCAGATAGTTTATCCCAGGGTCTTTGAGTCCCAGGAGTTGGGATTTTAGGGACATAAAGTTTCAATGAAAAATCAGAGGTCTTATGCATTGGGGGTATATCCTGTGATCACTGGCCCCTGAGCTCACACCTGCGTTCTGCCTGTTTGTGAATGTGCTTGGGGAGCCTCCTTCATCTCCACCTGAGCACACGCAGCCAGCACACACATGTGCAACCCCCGTGGGGGGATCGCGACTCCCATACCAGCAAGAACCAGAACTCAGTCCCCACAATCCCTCTGGGGGGCAGAGGCCCAAGAACAGATGTACCTTGGATTTTGAGCAATTTGAAAACTTAATGGCTCTGGGCAGTCACAGTTCCTCACCCAGGGCTCGTGTTGAGCTCCAGACCCAGAGGAAGCCGAAGCAGGACTTGAAGGAGCCAGTCTGGAGTCTGGGCACCCTCTACGTGCTGGAATTGCTGTCACGGAAGGTCCGGGACCAGCCTTGCCCCCGGGGCCTGCATCTGCCTTTGGGGCTCAGGGCTGGAAGGGCTGAGGGTGGAGGAAGGGTTCCTTCCTCCTGCATGCTGGGGATAAGTCCCCATGCTAGGTCTGGAAGCCAGGAAATCCACCGCCTCAGGACCGCTGGTGCACCACCCAGATGTCCGTTTTCTTGATGCGTTCTGTCCTTAGTGCCTTTGCCCCAGCTGGTAGGGCTTGCACCCACTCTGGTGGGACGCCCACATGTAGCTAGGCTTGCGACAGCAAGAGGCAGGACCCTAAACTTGTGTTTCTAGGCTTTAAAACCCCTTACTGGAAGAGGAAGAGTTGTCTGGAAGAGTATGTTCTTGTGGATCTTTTCCGCCCACGGCCCTCCCAACCAACCCCTCAAAGGAAGGCAAAAGAAATGGGATGGAGAAGTCGACAGTGAGGTTTCTGTGAGGACAGCAGCTCCTGCCGGCGGGCCTTCCCGCTGGCGGTCTCTCCTGCCTCTCCAGGGAGGCCGCAGGCAGGGCCGTGGAGACGCCAGGCTCTAGCAACAGCGCAAGCCGGGGCCCGGTGAGCTCTGGCAGTGCGTGCTTGCGACCCATGGCCAGCTTCACCAAACCCAGGGGCGCACGCAGACAGAGGCGCAGCACACAGTGCGTCCGCGCCCGCACACCTGCCCTCATGCCGCCCACGCTCCCGCACGCAGAGGCACATGCAGGCACATGCATGCGCACACGAACTCCTGAGTGCGGTCCCTAAGAGGAGCGCACGCCTCCGCGCGGTCACCCCACGGTGCCTCCCCTTAGATGCACCTTCCAGAGCCAGGCCAGAGCTATGTGGCTCCCTGAAGGTGGAGGAGGGGGTGTCCCGGCCAAGGGAATTTGGGCAAGCCCTAGAGGCGGCTCCCACCGCACGCTCCGGTCAGCCTCCCCTTTAAAAAAACCCGCCCGGGGGAGGAGGCGGATGTAGGGGGCGGCCCGTCCAATGGCAGCTGCGCGCCTCGGGAGACTTGGAGACGTGAGCTAGAGCGAGCGACAGAGCCGGTTCGCACCGACAGACGGACGGAGGGCCCGACGGCCGCCAAGGCGCG